AATAAAAATAAAGGGGAAAAAAAGGATTTCTAACAAGACCAAATTTCAAAGACTTTTAATAAATAAAAATTGATATAAAATTATGATTACACCTATTTAGATATAATTTCTTTGTTGAATATAGTACAGTATATTTACTTGTTAGGGTTAATAATTTTCGGTAGTCATTCCAAACGAAAAATTTGAATTTTTTCGAAAAAATACGCCTATTTAGAAACATATATTATTAACGTTATGAATAAAATATTGGCTAGTATTAAATAATTAAGGTGGATCGATGAAAATATCGGTTGCGACTTCGACTAAGTTAACTAGAAAAATTGGGTGGAGATAGCTCGTACTTATATCAATCTTTAATGTTTCGTGGTTCGTATAAAGACTGTTCGAAAAGTTTCTATGAAGTCGCTAGACTCAATTAGAAATGTAATTAATTTAATCTCCACAAATTACCTAATAATAATTAATTATATTTTAAACCAATTCGCATTTAAAATTTTCCAATTTCATTGATTTATACTTAAAACTTAATTTTTCATTTGATTTATTATTTTTTATAGTACTGTAAAGTAGCGATGTATTATAGCGAGTTTATAGTAAAGTATTATTGTATACAGCCAATACTATACTGTAGCCTATATATAAATAGTAGAACCCCGCCATACGCGGTTTAGGTTTACGCTATTGGCAATCCGCAAAAAAAAAAAAAAAAAAAAAAAAAAAAAAAGGTAAAATACGTAAAATGAAATTCTTAATTGAGCGCTAAATCTCCATTTTTTAAGGTAGTGAAATCTCGCAGCATTTCGCTCATTCTCGTTCTGAGTAAGCTTTACCTTACTTGTTACTCGTTTCTTTGTTTTTCACTAGACACTGGGATTGGCACGAGTCTTTGTTCGCAGTTCTCGCTTGTGACACGTCGTGTCCGTGTGATTTCGGTGCTTCTATTTGTTTTATTTATGCTAATTACTTTGCAAGAATGGCTAAAAAATGCGAGGATATTGATGCCGGTAGCTGTGATAAGCCAAATAGTGGCCGAATGGATAAAACCACTGAAAATTAGTAGTTGGTCGTGGATTCGCTCCTGGCTAACGGGATGGCCACATGGAGTTTTCCGGGTTTTCTTCACGTTTGTAACACCTAATTAGGGACCAGTTTCTCATAAAATCCTCCCGGGAGGAATAACCCTCTCGGCAGATCGTCCATGTGTGGCGTTGCCGTATACGAATGAACCAAACTAAACCAAATAGTATAGAAAATACTTAATAATTAATGGGTTCAATATTTTACGCTTACACGCTTTAGTGGTCATGTTTTTATTTTACGTTCTAAGATTTCTCTCGTAAATATGGAAATCTTACGAGAGGCTTACATTTTTATGGAGGGCCCTAATGTATATGTTTAACAACTGTATGTTATACTAGCAGACCCCGCCACGCGTTGTTGTGGCTCAAAATGTATCTATTATAAATGCATAACACTTCCCCCGTGGGGGGAAATTTTTCGAAAAATCCCCCCCCCCACGGGGAAGTGTTATAAATTTATAATAGATACATTTTGAGCCACAACAACGCGTGGCGGGGTCTGCTAGTTTCTTATAGTTTCATCTGGATTAACTTCTCGAAGATCTCGAATCCTTGAGTGGTTCCATCCAGATTCCATCGAGGAGAGGAAATTGAAAATCGATATGAGGAAATACAAAATCAGCATGCTTACTAATACAGTTATATACTTAAGCCTGAAAATACAACTGAAACTGAAAATGATGCAACTTCTGGTTTTTTCGCGTTCAGTTCGACTGAATCTCATCTGAAAGCAAAGCCGAAAATATCTTAACTTTTTCGTTCCTGATCAACTTTTCGATTATTTCACCAATATGACAGCGTTTTGTAAGTCGATTAAAAATATATGCTCTCCACCTCAAATTAGTAGTGTCTTGCCCCTGTACATCGTACTTTTCCTGTTAGCAGTAGAGTCATGCCGGTCATCTATCTAACTCCTTTCGGGAGAAAATTTTTCAATTGAAATTTCGGTAGCGAATGGAAATTTATATAGGTTACAATTTTTTCAAATTGCAGTCCAACAAACCATACTAGTGCTACTATTTAACAAATAGTTAATTACATGACACTATATCAAATCGATTTAATCATTTTGTTTAAAAATATTTACAAAACCTACTCACTCAAAATAAAATTATCGATCTCCATATTGAATTCTCTCAGAAGTCTTACGTTACAACCATAATTCAGTCCGTTTTTGTAAATTTCTCTCACTCAAAATCATTGCGTTCTTTTCTCTCTTAGTTTTTTAACAATTATCAATAGACTACTCGCAAGCGATAGGGAATTGCACTTATCTTAATTACTATTCAAAACTATACAATGAAACTGTAATACGAGTATTCTGTATGATTTCTGTGTAATCTGTGTTATTGTTTTTACGAGGTGGAAATATGTTTGCAAATAAATGTCTGATATGGGAGAAGTTACTTACATAATAAGAAGAAAATGGCTTATGTTTTATATTTAACACAGGCAAATTATATAGTGTTTCACGTTTGTGTATGTAATTATGTTTTATTTGGTTTATCTTGTGATTTTATGGGAATATTTGTTTTGGGAGAGGTCAAACAGTCACTTGATGTTGCCACCTGTAATATAAATAATAAATAATTTGGTTTAGTCCATGCAATATCCTGTGAATTTAAGTTTGTGGTCGTTGGATCCCAAATTTAAATTCACAACGTAATTACTGCACGGAATATTTTTGTTTAACCTTTATACACAAAATAAACTTACAATTACTCATTAAAATATATTAAAAACTGGTATAAAATGGAAGTAGGTCTATCTACATAAAATTTAAATGAGTGATTTCTTAATTCTTTAATAAAAATAAAGGGGAAAAAAAAAGGATTTCTAACAAGANTGTTTAACGGAATAATATACAGCCTATGTCCACCCTGAAGTTCCATTCTAAATATTGGTGAAAGAATTTTTGAAATCGGATGAGTAGTTTCGGAGATTACCTGCTGCAACGAAACTTACATACAAACATTACCTCTTTATTATATTAGTATAGACATATATATAGCGCGTAATCAGAGCTTAGTGAATACTTAACGATTCTACCCCAGGAAATTTTCGGGGTAGTCCTGGATAAGTCGGGTCCCGTATCTCATTACCCAGCCCATTGTGGGTTGCTAAAAAAGGCCCTCTGAAAATTCGCTTTGACTACTAAACAAATAGTGAAATACCGTGTTTCCCCGAAAATAAGACATCCGCAGAAAATAAGACCTAGCACAGATTTTGCTGAATTGCGAAATATAAGACTTCCCCTGAAAGTAAGACCTAGCGAAGTTTTTTTTTTAGTCGTAACTGTCATCGACAGATGCTTGAAAGTGGCCGTTGGATTTTTGAAAGTACAGCCACTGATTGGTCAGCAGACAATTACGCCACACGGCATGATTTGCATAAGACTATGGCTTGGGAATCACAGATTTGCATAACGTTACGGCTGGTGATGTCTAATTGGTCGGCCGGAAATCACGCCACATGACATTTGCATAGTGCTACGGTTCAGTAAGCACTAATTGGTCATCGAGTTCGATGTTGACGCTATAAAAAGGCGACAGTTCGACACACCGGATATACGTCACTCTCGTCTAAGTTCGACTTGGGAATTTTTTTGTTCAATAATAAATGTGAATTCTTCTTCCTGGAAAAATAAGACATTCCCTGAAAATAAGACCTAGCGCATTTTTCAGAGCAAAAATTAATATAAGACACTGTCTTATTTTCGGGGACACACGGTAAGTTTTAATATTGTATGATTCAAAAACAGAAGTACCGAATCATTTGGGACTTTTCTAGCAAGAAACGTGATATTAAAGTATGAAGATATGCTGCGTATATAGTAAAACCTCTCTAAGGCGACTACATTCCGCTCCAAAGCAATCTTGGTCTCTTAG